ATACTCAGTTTCAGGCTCGCGTCTGCTGGCATGGCTTTGTTATGATTGCCGGTGGAAATGTCCTCGGAATTACGTCGATCTACTTGATGATTTTATCATCGACGTAATTTTCGTAGATGCCAGAATTGCAGCCGCGACAACCACAAATGCACAGTTCCGGCGAATACCCCAACTGTGCATGCTAAGGTCCCTTATTTCACCCTATAATGTACATGCTATTCATGAAGATTTTCTAACTTTTTGTCATAATGTTAATGGCCGTCTGATTATTATTCGTCTGATTTAGGATGGGTGTACTTTCGTTCGAAAAGAACTTTTCGCTCAGCGACTCTGACCAGTTGCTCAGAAACGCGTCGATGCCCGCTGTTTCATCTGACTTGTGCTTTTCTCCGCTTTTGGATCGTAAGAGCGCTAATGCACATGACGTCGTCCCAGCCCAGACAAAAGAAGAATCGTCTTTGAAATGCAGAACCGGCGATTCGACTGTGGTTTCTACTCCGCTTCCGCAGCCGCCGCTTCATATGCACATGAAAAAGGCTGCCATGGAAAGGAACGAGTTTCCGCGCAGACGCCTATTCACACCCGGTGCACCTGGTACAGACGATCAGGAATTGTCGCCGCCATCCTACAAAGGCACCGTCGCCAAATCCGCGAAGTCTGACGTAATTGTGTCACTTTACACTGGTAGCGGTCTCGGAGCTCCATGTTGCCGGAAGGAGCGCAGCTGCATACAGAACGCTGCAAAGGAGGTTGCTTCATTTAATGAGCCGTCAGTGTTACCTGATACTTCGTCTGGTCAAAACGGCAATACGGCGAAGGTCGACAATGCTAACAACATCGGCGACAACGCAGCGGACAGATCGCCACGTTACGGCGACAGCGGCAGCGGAAGGGGCATTCGTGTAGAACCGGTATCTATAAGCTACGACGGTATCCGGCGCCTTCTGTCGGCCGATACAACCACTACGTCGTCATCCCCAGCATCGTCTGACACTGACCTGAACTCAAACATGCTGATCTCAACTGCGGACAAGTTCACTGCCGGAACCAGCGTCACCTACCCAGTCTACGTGCAAACGTCGCTTGACCACCATGCGGATGTGTTCCTCCACAGCAGTGCCGGAAACGAATGCTCGCCCGAAACGGTGTCAACCTTTCGCGCCAAAACAGATTACCGACATGGACCAAAAAGCAAAACAGCCGACATTCGAGTGGAGAAGGTTAGTCAGAAATCAGCTGTTACAGTCTTCATACGTTCTTGTCGTGTAAGCCGTCTGATCACTAACATGCAGTTAGATACGTTTGAACCTTGCATGTCATCAAGGCTGAGAGAAGCTTTCTTGAATGGTACAGCTCAGTAAATGCAGTCTGCATAGTTTTCCATTCTTTTTCATAAGCGTAGTCGGGCATCACGAATTTTAAGGGTCCTGCACGTAAGCTAAGTGGTTGAAGCTCATAGTAATAAAATGGCATTTTCTCCGAAAAGACTTCATTATGTGAACCCGAAATATCTTGTTGTCTAATGTGCTTTTTCAAGGGGATGACCTATAGGAAGTATCTAATTGGACAAAAGGCCTGAGTAGATCGATTCACACCTGTTTAATGAACGAATATAGGACTTTCGACCTGTATATCGGGTTTTCTTGTAGGTCTAATTTCTTATGAGCTACGTATAAATTTTGCTACAAACGGTCTGCATTGCGAGTAGTTGTAAAAATTTAAATCAGTTTTAGTTCTACAATGTTTTCTTCTAGCACAACGCAAAGTGCGTTGTGAATGGCGCTGTAAAACATTCTACCGGTTCTTCGACAGCGTTACCGCAGAGGCGAACGAAATCGGCCGCAACTGTGTCTGATACTCGACACCAGTCTGGTGAGTCGCCTCCCCTTACTTCGAACTTGCAAAAGATGCCACTGGTAGGCCGAAGTCGTCTTTCCTCTCCTCTTTCAAGTAATTTCCTGATTTTCTTCATTTTTTTGATTATTGTAGTGAAACGGTTGCTTTGTATGTATTAGTAAATCCGCCGGTACTTAAATTCGGAAGATAGTAATAAAAATGATAGAGGCATCATACTGATGTTTTGTAATCAGTTTTGATCCTTTTTCGCGGATCTTTTTCAGTTTGACTTTCTTCGATTTGATAGACGTGATGGACAGGGTGACCTTTCTGTTCATTATTTTTGGTTATGAATTTCGAGGATGCAACATCGTCGAAGAAAGCTTGTTGATAAAGATCCGTTTGAACAAATCGGAATGTTGGTTATGCCTCTGTTTGGCCCTCTCCACTGATAATGCTTTTGAACCAGGTGATAACATGCGTTCTACATCACATTTTATTGGAGGGTTGTTTTTTGAACACAAAAGTGTGATACTGTTCAGTATGACATCTCTTCAGACAAACTAGCGACACTGTGCAGGCTCTCTTGCGAACGATAGCAATGGCAACTGTTTGCTGAGCTGCAGTTTACCACGCTTTGCGTTGTTACTTCTGAGCAGCACTAGCAACACACGAAAGTTCTAATCTTATTCTCACCAGCTGATGCCACTTATGCTGCGCGCACATCATCAGTCTTTGACGTTTTCTAACTTTTAGGGGTAGACAACACGATGAATATATTGATCTTCACTGCCTTCAGTTAAGGAAAAAAATTCAGTGCCCCGGGCGGGGACCCTGAGTCGGAAATTCATGTTGTTGTCGAAACATCTGTCTGCAGACTAAACTGCCGTAAATACGATGAATGAGGCATTCTTTCTGGCTTTGAATAATTTTAGGTTTAGATTCCTGCTCGTGGATTCTTTGTGTCCCTGTTAAATTGTTGAATCGATATGTAATTTTTTATCTAACAAGGTTCTCAAGCTTCATTCATTGAATATTTTGGCTGCGCCCCCTGCAGACAACTTGCCTTCATTTTTGGCTTTAAACCCTGACTTCTTAGAGCGCTCTGATATATACTGTTTTTCAAGCGTATCCAATACTATTACTCCACGTGGTATTATTCCACGTCAGACTTGCTGTAAAAGTAAAGCAGATGCCGCTGTCCTGATGAGTAATTGCTGCGACTCTACCACTAATTGTGTTAGAATCGGGTTTTTCTTTAGTTTCTAAAATTGGTATGAACGAGGTAAAATCAGTAGATTGCAAAGCTAAGCGCCTACATTATTCTGGAGTTTT